AATAGTGTGCCCAACTATATAAAAAAATACTAACGGACATGAAAAACCATATAAGCACTAATACAATAGTAGTGGGGGACCTCAATACCCCATTGTCACAAATAGAAAGAACAACTAGACAAAAAACAAGGAACAAAATACTAGAACTCAATCGAACTCTTGAACAAATGAACTTAACAGATGTTTACAGAGTGTTTCACCCCACAAATTCAGAATACACATTCTTCTCAGCTGCACAAGGGTCGTTCTCCAAAATAGAAAACATACTCGCTCATAGAACATATTTAGGTAAGTGCACAGGAACTGAAGTTATCCCCTGTATATTATCAGACCATAATGCGATGAAATTGTAGATCAATAGCAAAAGAAACCACAAGAATTTCGTAAACACATGGAAACTGAACAACACATTTCTGAATAACTAATGGGTCACAGAGAAAATTAAAAAAGAAATCAGACAGTTCCTTCAAATAAATGACAATGACAATACAACATATAGCAATCTATGGGACACAATGAAAGCAGTCTTACGAGAGAAATTCATAGCAGTGAATGCTCATATTAGGAAAACAGAACGAGCCCAATTAAAGAACCTGATGCTGAACCTCAAGCTTCTAGAAAAGAAAGGACAGGACAAACCCAAAGCTCATACAAGGGAGGAAATTACAAAGATCAGGGCAGAAATCAATGCAATGGAGACTAAGAAAACAATACAAAAAATCAATGAAGCCAAGGGTTGGTTCTTCATAAGAATAAAGAAAATTGACAAACTCTTAGCCAACCTTATCAGAAAAAGGAAAGAAAAGGCCTAAATCCATGCAATTAGGAATGAAAAGGGTGAAATTACAATGGACACAGCAGAATCTAGAGGTTCATCAATACCTACTTGAGAACCTATACACCAAAAAGATGGAAAACACAGAAGAAATGGACAGATTCCTAGACACGTATGAATTATCAAAGTTGAATGAAGAAGACCTAAAAATTCTAAACAACCCAATATCAATCAATGAAATTGAAAATGTAATTTAAAACTTACCAACCAAGAAAAGCCCGGGTCATGACGGCCTCACCGCTGAATTCTACAAGACATTTAGTGAGGAACTACTGCCACTAGTGTTTAAACTCTTCAACAAAATTGAAAGGGAAGCAATACTCCCAAATTCATTCCTGGAAGCATGCATCACCTTGATCCACAAAGCAGTGAAAGACCCAAATGAAAAAGAGACCTATAGGATAATCTCACTAAAGAACATAGATGCAAAAATCCTTACTAAGATACTGGCAAATAGAAGCAGAAAATCATCAAGAAGATCATACACCCTGACCAAGTAGGATTTATCCCAGGGATGCAGGGGTGATTGAACATACACAAATCAATCAATATAACACACTATATCAATAGAGCCAAGGACAAAAACCATATGATCATCTCAATAGATGTAGGAAAAGCATTTGACAAAATTCAACACACATTTGATAAAAACCCTACAAAAAATCGGAATAGACAGTCTCTACCTCAATCTGAATAAAGCCATTTATGAAAAACCAACAGCCAATATCATACTAAATGGTCAAAAACTGAAATCCTTCACACTAAAATCAGGAACAAGTCAAGGATGTCC